TTCTGAAGTGGTTTGCCATTGTCACCTTCTTAGGGATGAGAGAGAGTGACTGGCCCATAGTCACCCAGCTGGCTTCCTGCCTAAGGTGGGACTAGAACCCATGATTTCCTGGTTTCTAGTCTGGTGCCTTAACCACTACATCAGCGTTACCCTTCTTAAAGTATTTACATTTCATTTAAAGGTTTCCTTAAATGCAATGCAGAGCAACTAAATTTATCTTTTGTCAAACTAGCATCAGGATAAGATAGTGGAATAATCAGGAACGGTGAAAGTATAAAATAATTTAGCTTTAAATAAATTTCTTATAATACATTTGATATTTCTTAAATGTCAGTTACATTTGGAACCAGGTAATTATTTTGAATTTTTTTTGTTGATCGAATCGTCATTTTTGTGAGGTTTTGTTTTCACATGATGGGTCCCTAGGCAACCTTTTTTTTAGTTAAGGGAGATGCTCTTCATGGCTCAGTGTATAGCATTTTATAACTTGGAATTTATTGGCATCCACAGCTGTAGGTCCTGCCATTCCATAAATGGTTTAAGGTTTTGTCCAACAGTGGCTATCTAGCAGCAGAATGGACCTGCTATTGGAAAGATTCTTATTTCTGAAGAGCTAAAGGGGCTTCCTTGTTCTCTAGATCAGGGGTCCCCAACCCCCAGTCCGTGGACCAGTACCAGGCCCCAGCATGCCAGCAACCGATCTGCACAAAAAGCAAAGCCCCATCTGCGAGATGCAGACAGCACACAAAACCACGCATTCTCCGATCTACGGAAAAACCTCTCTCCATGGAACCGGTCCCTGGTGCCCAAAAGGTTGGGGACCTCTGCTCTAGATTCATGCCAGTAGTTTCTTTATTTTTGTAAACTATATTGACAATATCAAAACAGAGCAGTTTAGTATATTCCACTCACTTTATTTACATAGATTTTCCTTTCCCTCCAGGAGCCCCATATGGCATACACAGCTCTTTCTCCTCTAGCTTTTATCCCCTTACAACTAACAGAGTTGAGGGATTGCGTTTAGCCCCAGGTCACTCTGGGAAGTGCTAACACTAGTTAGCACCAAACTACTTCATTACGCTGGCTTTCTCCCAGGCTCATTCAAAAAATCACCTTAAATAAAGGAATTTAAGCTTAGCATTGGAAGAAATTATGAGAGAAATGGAAGCTTGGTCTTCTTGTTACAGAAGAACTGGAAGGAAAGACATTGGTATTGGTGCTATCACGTTTTCCCATGTCTCCATAAAATTCCAATGGGCTATAAAAATATAACTGCAGCCTCTATTGCCTGTTTTCTACCAGTTGTTCCTGTTTAAAATTATAGTTCTTGGTAGTAATGCAGAATTTGCTTTCTTCGCACAGCATTATTTACTTAGAAAAAAGTGCCAATCTACAGGTAGTCCTCAATTTATTATTACCACAATCCGGAGAGCAACTTATGTCACTGAGCGATGCGTCATTCAGCCTGTTGTGCCCAGGTTTGCAACCTTTTTTGGGGGGATAAAATCGTTAAGCAAAACAAACGGTTCTTAAGCAAATCAGGCTTCCCTCGTTGGCTTTGCTTGGCAGAAGTCAACTGATGGTGCAAACCTTGTAAATGCATGCTGCTTTGCCAAGTGCCTGGATCGCAATCACTCCGGGGACACTGTGGCGGTCATAAGTATGGGGCCCGGTTCCAAGTCACTTTTTTCAGTGCTGTCGTAACTTTGAATGGTTGCTAAATGAATGGTCATAAGTTGAGGATTACGTGTAGATGAAGACGTGGAAAATTGCTAGCAGAGCTAATGGGGGGGGGAATGTTCAAATACTTTGGGCATTGGAATCAATTTCCTTAGCTGTATATTTATAAATATTGGATGTTTCCCACACCCCTATCCCTACTAATTTAAGGATACTGCTTAAGGATGTACAGCTTCTTTTCACCTTTTGTTGAGGAGATGCTGGTTCATTCTTAGGTTATAGTACTAAATTGTAGAAGTGCTCCAAGATGCAGGACATCTTTTGTCTACCAACCATATATGATGTTGATAGAGGCTGCTTGCCACTAAACAATCATTTTATCTCATGAGGAAGAATGGAGTCAGATTGGTGATGCTTTTGTGGAATACAGCAGCCAATGTCCATATAAAAAACCAATTCTTTTTGAAATAAAAAACAAAACAAGTCCAGCTAAATCTGGCAAATTGCTGTATACAGTAATATACCATTTTATATATAGAAAGATATTGCTTATAATAGATGGATGGATGGATGGATGGATGGATGGATGGATGGATGGATGGATGGAGAGAGAGAGAGAGAGAGAGAGAGAGAGAGAGAGAGAGAGAGAGAGAGAGAGAGAGAGAGAACCTTTATTGTCATTTTTTATTATGGGCACACTGGTACACATTAAAAATGAAATTCTGTTGAGCAAATGTTTGGAGATCTTAGTAACAGTTTATGAAACAGTATCTTTCCGTATCACAACTTCATTCCCAGTATTCAAATATTCTTTCTCTTAATGTGAAACAAAACATTTCGTCCTTTTGTATATCTTTGCTTCCATTGAGCTATAGCTAGGATTCACATAATGGGTAAAATTAACACAGGACTTTGTAGATGTATCTCTAACCCTGGGGCCTCTTAACCTTCAAATGTTGTTGATTAAATTGTTGATACTTTAATGAGTTTTGCTTGTGTAATTCATGATCACTTGGTACGTTTTAAAATGGGAACGGAAGGAATTTAGTAGGCTGAAGCTGCTGAGGGTTCAGCGCACAAGAAATTCATAGTGCATACTTAATATTTGTGCTCTCTCTCTCTCTCTCTTTCCTATTCCAAATTTTTTAAAAAATGTGGTTCTAATGTTAGGTAAACCCTATGTTTTTGTTTCACTCAGTTCTGCTTGCATTTGACTAGATGTGCATAGGAGTGCATGCTATATTTGTAGGAGAAGAGCAGGCACAGCTGGAGGTGGAGTTAAATGCATCATCAGTTTAGAATTTTTATGTTGCCACTAGAGATCCAAGTCCAGCCTTCCTTGAATTCCGTTGACCCTTATCTAACACCCATTTAGTGCTGACCATTAGTTGACTAGATTCTCCTGTCTAGGCTTGAATAAATCTCCTATGCAGCAACCTTAGGAATGATTGATTCTTTGCAACCTGACAACATCTGTATTAAAAATATGCTCTGAGTTTGAAATGTCATCTGTTGCCTAAAGGGCTGATAACAGTATCTCTTCCTCAATCCTGCACATTAACCCTATCAGGACCTCAAATGTCTCCTTGAATCAAGAGTTGGTTTTCTCTCTTAACCCACTGACTCTGATTGAGCAATTGGTCCATTTGGAATTTTCAGAGCAGGCTGTAGCTGTTCCCTCTGAATGACCCTGATAGTCATCAGAGCTTTTCACAAAGCACCCATTTACCAGAAGGTAAATAGATTGAGATTATCTATTATCTCCTCTTTACCTCTCTCTCAACTCCCAGCACACTCATTACCACTCTACTTTATGTTAACCTTCCCCCTCCCATCCCACCATCAAGACAAGTGGAGATGCTATTAAATAACTGGCCTGCAGCCACCCATCGTTTTTTTAAAAAATAAAAAAAAAATTCTAAGAATGCTTACACAAGCTACATGGGTCATAAAGGCATTGTTATCAATAAAAATGAAGTTATAGGCCGGTGCTTTGCTTCTTGGCAATCAAAGTTTTTATTTGGCTTTTCTTTCAGATAAAATAGTATGAAAACGACAGAATAAAAAGGGTACCACATTGTCTTGCGCTGCAGTGGCAGTACAATTTTGTTGCATAGATTGCTATGATTGGTTTGTAGCCAGGGGTTTTTTTGGGGGAGGGAGTGCCAGCCCTAGCCACCTGATAGCAAGAAGATTGGATCAAGGCGGGTTTTTTTAAAAAAAAAAGTATAGACAATCAGTAGATTAAAAAATAAGACTTGTATACAAGTGTTAACGAAAATTGGGGGTGCGTAGCCAGGAAAAGACTAGAAAGGAGATGTGTTAGATGTATTTAGGACTCATATCTGGAAGAACCTGAATAGATTTTCACAGGGTACATAAGACACAGAAGTGTAGGTGTTGGATGAATGTTAAGATAAACCTCTTAATAGCAGGATGTTATTTGTTTTGTTGAAGGAAAAAGTCTTCATCGTGGTTCAGTCCAAGCCGGGAATAAACAACATGGCGACTGCTTTAGAAAGAAGGTTGCATATTGTTTATTCCCGGCTTGGACTGAACCATGATGAAGACTTTTCCTTCAACAGTTTCTAGCGCAGCTTCTATGCCAGTTGACTAGGTGTGATCATTTTAAAATATTTTTTAAATTTCCAGGTGAGGGGGGAAAATGAGTCATGGATTTGCTGTGAACTATTTTAAGCTATGATTGGCTGACCATTAGACCAACATTCTGGAGCCAGTGTGATATAGTGATTAATATGTTGGATTACAGTTGAGTAGATCCCTGTTCAGGTCCTCTCTAAACCGTGAAAACTCACATATGATGTCACTCTCTTTTAGTCCAACTTGCCTCATAAGTCATCTTGGGATAAAACAAGATCACTGTGTAAGCTGTGCTGAGTTTCTATAGAGAAAGCAAACTATGTTAACAGATATGCTTTTCCTATATTTTCCCCATCCTGTCCTATTTCTTTCTATTATTTTTTTTCAAAAAATGATAAAAGATGTGGCATCCAAATCTACTTAGTTGACTTTTTCAGAATCTTGGTTTAAATGTTAAATGTTTTATCAATATCGACAAGAGTCTTGTTAAGTTGGTATAACTATAGATATGTATGCACATACTGTACGTACAAAGACTTTTGGTAAAAAAATGTGCTCAACCAAATTTTCTCCTATCATTGAGACTGAACTTGTTTTAAGTATATGAAAAGTCTATGCAGTGAGTTTTATTTCTGTAATATATATGTCCCTTAATATTTTTTTTTAAATATCCCAGTTAACCTTGTAATTGATGTCATGGTTGCATCTGCATTTTTCAGCAACTCCATACCCTGGTGGATTCAAATGTTTTACCTGTGAACAAGCAGTAGATAACTACGAATGCAACCAGTGGGCTCCAGATGTATACTGTCCCAGAGGTAAATCAGCTTTATGTTGACAGGAAAGCAGTGAATATAGATCTCTTCTGATGATGTTTTAAATGTCCCATGCAAACTCTTAGCATCAGTCTAGCTTTTCATCCACCACTTTGAAAGGTTGTGTGACACACCTGGACTCTGCCCATATAGATGTCCTTAGGCTTATAGACATTGTTATGGCGTCCTATAATCACTTCATGTGAAAAAGATTCTCTGGACATATATGAGACCGTTGATATGTTGCTATACTCTGCATAACCAGGGAATTGTATTAGGAGTTTTTAAAAAATCGCAGCAGCTTTTTTGATCAAGCCAATGTAAAACTTTGGAGTATAACATGAAAAAAATGTTTCTTGCATCTAATGCTAGAACAGCGGTTCTCAACCTATGGGTCGCAACCCCATTTGGGGTCGATCGACCATTTCACGGGGGTCTCCAAGCAAGGCTGTCCGCCATTTTTTTTCCCTTTTCCGGCGGGTGCCTTACCTCCCTTGGGCTGGGCCAGCTGGTGGTCGGCCTGCTCCGTCTCTGCCGCTTGCCAGCTACGCCTCGGCCGGCGCAGGGGGCGGAACCACGCATGCGTGGCACTCCCGGGCAGGGAAAGTCCTTGACTTACGACCGGTTGGGTAGTCCTCGACTTACGACCGGTTTAGTCCTCGACTTACGACCGGTTGGGGGTCACGGCATTAAAAAGGTTGAGAACCACTGTGCTAGAACATCTTGCTGTAAATGCAAAACTTTTCGAAATATAGAATTAAGTTAGTTGAAGCTGTTTTTAAAAGAGGGATGGAAAAAGTCTTCTATCCTTATTAAACTCAGTTATAATTATGAAATGATTGTAATATTCTCTCTCTCTCTCCATCCCTCCCTCCCTCCCTCCCTCTCTCTCTCTCTCTCCCTCTCTCTCTCCCTCTCTCTCTCTCTCTCTCTCTCTCTCTCTCTCTCTCTCTCTCTCTCTCTCTCTCTCTCTCTCTCTCTCTCTCTCTCTCTCTCTCTCTCTCTCTCTCTCTCTCTCTCTCTTTCTGTCTCTCTCTGTCTCTCTGTCTCCCAACTTGCGGTACAAATAAAGCTTGATTCCTGATGACTTCATGAACACATCTGTGTAATTTCCTTGGGAGCAGGGGTGGTTTTGACTTTCTTTTCTAGCCTACAACCGTGAGGTTTCTTAGTGGCTTCCCAGCTAAATTGAGCAGATCCTGTTTAGTATTTTTTGAGTTCATCCATGAGCTAGATGCTGGTACTTACTGTGATACCTTCTGTAAAGATAGCCAAGTTTGATTTCTGGTGCAGTTTTCTTGATAACAGCATGATTTGCTATTGCCTTTCAGGACATTGTTTTCCCACCTAGTTTATTGCATTACACAGCTAATTACACTAGAAATAAGACTTACTGATATTTCTCTTGCTAGCCACAAGATACTGCTATTCTCAACATACCCTGGAAGCCAATGGAAAGAGTGTATCAGTCACCAAGCGATGCGTGCCACTGGAGGATTGTTTGACTACAGGATGCATCGCTCTCCAGCATAAAGGACTCAAGGTAAGGAGAAGAGCTGAAATGAATTGGTGTGTTGGTCTCTTTTTTCATAACATTATGAGAAACCGTTTCACGGTCATTACTTGAAATTGGTTGCTTTGTTTGGCATTGTAATTGTGACTGTAATTCTCAAAATGAGAAAGACTTAATGAAAGAAATCATTGGGGTTAAGAACAGGAACAATGCTGATGTCTTGTAGTGGAGAAGATAGATGTACTAGGAACCCTTGGTGAATGATGATGATTATCAAGAGGCATCATTTGGAGAGGTGAGAAAATAAAAGTTCTCCACTCAAAAACTGATGAAGCCAATATACGTTACCCAGGAGATGTTAACTAACAATGTCCTGGACATACAGTAGAGCAATAAGTTACTGTTTTCAGATGATTGCCTGAACTAATTCTTGTGGGTAGAATGATCCACATGAAATATTCCACACACTCAACACAGTTATTAGAGCAACTTTCTTGGAGTTCTTGAAGGATTGTCGGTTTCTCTAAAGTTCATTTTTGTCACTTTGTCCCCCCTTTATAAAATGGAAATGCATATTTCTGAATTTCGCAGTTGGACCCCACTGCAGCGGTAACAGGGATTTCCAACCAATGGGGTAGAAATTTCATAGAAGAACATTTATATGAAATCAGAATTTAACGTTCTTTCATTTTGTATGGATGCTTCCACCGTTAAGTCTTTTTTTTTTTTCCTTTCCTTCCTGTGATTTAGAAGTTGATAATAATAAGGGGAAAATGACCCTTCTTCCTCTAGGAATATAAATGATGATTAATAGATGGAGGTGGTTTTATGGTATGCTTAATGCTTTGGGGAAAGACATTCTAACAGAATTTAAAGTAGCTTCTCTGGTATCATGTCATAAATGTATTACCTCCCCCCCCGTCAAGTTTTAAAATATACGATATCTGTAATTCATTATTTGATGATATGAAATAGGTGGGTAATTGCCCATCCTCGCTTGGTAGCCAATTGCAAGGAATAGTTCACCAAAAATATATCAGTTAAGAGTTAACGGCACCTTCTAATCAAACATGTATAACCAAGCTGTTTTCCCCCCCAATTAAAATGGTTTGTGGTTGGTTAAGCAAATTTTAATTACAGCTATATTATCAAGACCAGCCTAGTTATTTTTTTTTAATTTGCCAATTATCCTTTCTAATGTCCTTCATCTTTACAGCAACCATGCTTTTGGAGCTACATGGTGTATATATACTGTATATCAGACTTTGAGGTATAATATGTAGCTTACCTCCGATAGTGAAATTTCTATCAGTTCTGAGAAAAATGATTTGAGTCTTTTTTTTTCCAGGTATGCACTTCTTGCTGTGAAGGAAACATCTGCAACTTAACATTACCTAGGAATTCTAGTGATGCTATATTTTCAACAACAACGCCTATCAATCATACACAGAGACATTGGCAAGATGCATCCATAATAATGATGGGTCTCCTGTCACTCTTTGCTACGTAGACCTTTTCGGATAAATTAAACATCAAGGAAATCAGTGGGTTGAAAATATTTATGCACACAATATGACCTTAATTTAATATATGCTTTTCAATGCTTTCTTTTTTTTAGTGACATTTTAAAACAATCCTTTGAATTCCTTTTAGCCTTGGCTGACTCAGAAGCCATACTTTCTGATCTGTGTCTTTAAAAAAAGGAAGTTTGTTATAAGTTGACTATTCTGAAGGAAAACTTTTGTAGTCATTAAAATGGGTGTATGTTTTTTTTAAACCATTGTTTAGTCTAGCGAAAGGAGTATTTCTAGAAATTACATACAATACCATTTGAAAACCAGGGTTTCAAAATAACACTATTCTGCTATGCAAGAAAGGATTCTAGATAATTGTCTTACAGCATCAAACCAATCTTACCTTGATCATTGTATTGGATTTCATCTAGATTTAGTAGTCTATATTAGTATAGCACTAGACATAGTGAAATCAAGCTAAGGTCTCCATGATATTAAGAGGGCCTATGCTATGACTAGATTTAATCCATATCTTTTAATCAACTATAGGGGATCAATATTCATTTTAGAAAAATCATTATCATGAGTGTTAAGCAGGCATGTGGTTATTCTCTTGGATGTACAACGATGACAAATGATTTTTCTAAAATGTCCTTTAATCTGGTAAGGATTTTATTTTTAAAATGCCTAAGGTTTTTTTTTTCTAAATTTGCTGTTGAAATAGTCATGCCAATTATTAAAAAAAGTTTTAAATTTTTATTTAATCTAGCCAATTAATATAATAAGACTGTAATTCTGTGCCCAGTTGCTGAGAGTAAGGCCCATTGCACTCACTCTGTCAGATTGCCAAATTGTTTGTATGTACTCGGAGTAAATACTATGGGAATCCCTGCCATTTACTGTTGAACAAACATGCCTAAGAGAGTACTATGCATGATGCAGTCTTATGTCCGATGTGCTTATTGAAGCTTGCCTTTAATTATTTGCTCTGCATGCACGCCATCTTCATTTCCTTCGTGAAGCTCTATGTGTGCATCACAAACTTGTTGGGAATCTCTGGGTCGTAAGAAAAATAGGCCTATTTCAACAAGAGTTTCCTGCAACAACTGTAATAAGGATTTCAACTTGGATCAGAGCTTTTGGTATAGAAATTTATTGTGGAGGAATGGCTTGCGCTCAAGAAGAACTATTTCAAATCCACACACCATTTGTGCCATCCAGCGTGGTTTAATTTTACACTGCAGGTTGCAATATTTGTATTTGTGTAATGGGATTAGAATTGCTAGAATTGTTGTGGTCTTAAGTTACTATAGGTAGTCCTCAACCTATGAGTGTAATGGAGCCTGCTAATCATGATTGTAAGTTGTGATGGTTGTAAAGCGGGGGGGCCCCACATGCCCGACCCAATTTTTACGACCTTTATTTTGTGGTGGTAATTAAAGTGAATCACCACGGTCATTAAACAAATCTGCAGTTGTTAAGTGATCGTTGCAGTTGTTAAGCAAACCCATCGTTCACTCGGGGGCATTTTTGCCGAAAACCGGAAGCAAACCGAAAGTAAACACCGGTTTTCAGCAAAAACGTAAATTATGATCATGTGACCATGAGATGCTGGAAACAACTGTCAAAGCAGGCTGGTTGCTGAGCACCCGAAATGCAGTCACATGATTGTAGGGAGGGGCAGCCATCTTTGGAACCGGGTCATCAGTATCTATCTTTTGGGGCAGTTTGAATGGTCTTTAAGCAACCAGTCACAAGTCAAGAACTACATATATGAGCAGTGCTGCTGTTTCTGTTCCTGCCAGGACCTGTCTGCTTTCTGACCAGCACAGATCCATGTTGCAAAGTGAAGGAAAGGGGAAGAAAAAAAAAAGAAAGGAGAAGAAAATTTAACTTTACATGGTCTGGGCAGACTTTAAAAAAACAAAAAACAATCATCCATTAAACCTTAAAAGTTATGTAGACCAGCCATTTTTGTGCTGATGTGAATGAAATGCTTATTGAAGCTTCACAAATTCTTGTCAGGTTTTTATGAAAGCAACCCACCTTTTTCATATTTTTTGTGCAAGAGCCTGGAAAAAAAAAGATGTGGCTGCTTTAAGAAACTCACTCATTAAACTCAATGGCGCTTTTCAGCAGCCGCATGTCTTTTCTGCTTTGTGTGGAAGCTTGAAGAAAGCCTGATTCCTTTAATGAAGGGCTGCGAAGTGCTAGGCTATGTCAAAAGCCCTTCATTTTATAATCTTCCACAGCCCTGTTATGCAATACAGTTCTGTTAAATATCTGAACTGCCTCCCCCAGCTAAAAGCAAACGGATGTCTCAAAGAGGCCTGCGTTTATCGTGTAAGTCTGATAAAATAAAAGGATTTCCAAATGGAAGGAGAATGATGTTTCAAACCCGTTTGAGAACCCAAAGAATAGCCCTGTTTGATGGGATCAGGCCCATCTTAGACCAGCTCTTAGCCTCTCAAGGTTGCTACAGATGCCTCTGGGGTGCTCAAAAAATAGGACAGGGAGATAGATCCCTCGCCTGCCACTGTTTTTATTTATTCATTCATTCATTCATTCATTCATTCATTCATTCATTCATTCATTCATTCATTCATGCAGCTAATAATTTAATTCCATAAAATTAAAAGTGGGGAACACTTTTTGAAGACCCAAATCTACTGTAAGGATTAAGAAGTCACTGAAATTAAGTGCTCTGTCCCCCTTTGGACTCATTCCCCCCCCCCCGCCACGCTCTTTTCCAGGGGATTTGGCTTCTGCATGTTCCTTCGCACTCACAATTTTGTAGGCTCAAGTGTATTGATGGCCTCTTGGAAAGGCGTATCGCTTTTAACGACGATGACAAGGAATCCTAAGACATATTAAATATTGAACGGCTGTGCTCTCACCCCATTAAAACGATTAGAATTCTTTCTTGAGATCTGACATTGTAGAATAATCTCAGGTTGCAAAGGAAGCAAAATTGGAACGGTCCGTGTAACACTGTAGGGATATTCAAAACAACTGCTTTCAAACAATGGAAGCCCGGCTGAAAAGAAGTCATGTTCATCTACGGAAAGTTGTCGCATTGGACCTGTTTCCAAATCTGCCCCTCAATTTACCAAAGCAAGTATAAGTATGTGACCACTACTCTTATGTGCCAAAAGTGAAAAAATATGTTCAAGATCTGTGTTTAAAATCACGCTCACTCCGAAACCTAGATACTGTAGTTCTCCCTTCTCATTTACTGAAGAAAGAGGTTTGTTGGACGAAATTATAAACAATATCTGCATACCGTTCCCACTGCGTTGCTGTGACTTCTCATGTAGTGGGTTCAGATTGTGTGCGATGTCTATGGAGATTCTCAGTCATCCAGGTTATAGTTGTCCCAAAGTTGCCTTTTCAAAAGGCAACTGGACTTTCTTTCTTTTTTCCTTTCAAGATGTTTTGCTTTTCATCCAAGAAGCTTCCACTGACTGAAGAAGCTTCTTGGATGAGAAGCAAAATGTCCTCAAGGAAATCCCCGAGGGGCTTTTTTTCAAAAGGCAACTGGGCTTTCTTTATTTTTTTTCCTTGAAGATGTTTTGCTTCTTGCCCAAGAGACTTCCTCAGAACTGAAGAAGCTTCTTGGAGGAGAAGTGAAATGTCTTCAAGCAAAAAGTCCAATTGCCTTTTGAAGAAACACCTTTGGGACAACCATGACCTGGACCAGGGGTAGGCAACCTCGGCTCTTTTATGACTCCTGGACTTCAACTCCCAGAATTCCTGAGTCAGCTATGCTGACTCAGGAATTCTGGGAGTTGAAGTCCAGGAGTCATAAAAGAGCCGAGGTTGCCTACCCCTGATTCCTGGACGACTTGAGAATTTCCATAGACGTCTTCAAAAAAAGCAAAGGAAGTCCAGTTGCCTTTTGAAAAAAGCATCTTTGGGATTGGGTGAGATGTTTCCATGACTACAACATCCATTTTTTGAAGAGATGGCTGGAATTGTAGTGAGGGGAAAAAAAACAAGTTGTGATTAGCTCTGCTACAAGTTGTATAGAAAGAAGACGTCACGTGGTCAAGATTTACTAAGTAATACATATATGAAGATCTGTCCTAAATAGAATTCTTTGCAGTAACTGTTTCTCATAAAATAACAAGCTGTGTTTAGTGTAGTACAATCAGGTCTCCATTTGTGCGGTGAAATTAAACTTTCATTCGTCTTCCCCCTTGCACATACCTCCAAGCCTGCTCCGAGGAGAGGGTGTCTCCCAACCTCTGGAACAGATTTGATAGATGCACAAAGATGGAGGGAGTGTTTGTCCTGCTTGGGACCCCGTTGGATGCAGTCCTTTGTATTGTATATCTTGTGAACGCTCTGAAAGGTGGTGGGTATTGCATGATATAGTCATCTATTAAAACATATGTGGGTGACTCGAGACATCGGTTTGGATTAACACTTCTTGTTTAGAAGTGAACATGATATAATTATCCTATCTGTAAAATCTGCAGCTTTATGAATGTAGCAAATGTTGCCCAGGTTTGTTACTCATTTGAATTCCAACATACAGTACTGTACTTCTTAAACTTAATTTGGATTTTTACAGTTCAGACGTGATGATGTTGTAACCTGTAAGTCGAGCATTTGTGTTTCATTTTGAATTTAGATGTTTAGGATGGAAAAATATATATTTATATATATATATATTTCTTCCTTCTCCATTCCATTTAATTATGAAGGGAAGAATACCATAAGGGCATGATAATCTGAAGCCAAATGTGTGCCAAATTTCCTGGTTATTCTGCTATCTTTGTCTTTGGTTTTGGTTTAGTTTTCTTTCTGTTTGTCGGTTGGTATTCTTGTGAATGTTTCCTATGTAAATAGCAATCCCAGCTGTTAATGTTGTTGTAAATTTTGTACATTCTATAAATGACTTAAAATTTTCGTGCTTTGATTTTTTTTTTATTAAAACCATATAACAAATCACAAAGGAAGCGATGGATTACTTCAAAGATGTGAATCAGTTTGAAAGACAAATGCATAAGAAAAGGAAAACGTGATGCATATAACTTGATTATGAGAATGGACAGCCACTTGTCTGAAATGGTACAGGGTC